TTTTCAGCGGTTTTTGAGCGCGCGCACATCGTGGGCTCAAATCGAACGTTCAAAAGTAGGCAGCCACCTTAATTCGGCTACTTTGAGCAATCAGTATTCTACCAATCAGCATTCGATTCATCCATGAAGCGGAAATAATAAAGATTCTGCTCTGAAAGCAATACACGTGACTTAAAATAAGTTACATAAACTACAAGCTCTCTCTCTCTCTCTCTTTGATGTTGTTGGCCCTTAGTTTTTACTCTAACCATCAAGTTCTATCTTTCAAATGCAAAATGTTTGCATCCCTAATGGGGAAAAAAGGAACAAAAGTACCAAACATTGACGTCACTAGTACTTTCATCAAAACACCTCCTATTTTTCTTTCCACTTCACGGCCAGTACACCATGCGAAGTCGTCTATACGTATGAAGTTCCTTAGAGCCACAATGGTGATTTCTCAAGAAATTCAATTTTGATATCAAAACTGTTTTATTAAAAAAGCACAGAACGGCACTCAACTAATACACCCATCATAACTATGTAGTTTTCATTACATTACATACATCAACCATCAGATATACTATGTTGATAACCGATACGAAAACATTATAATGACATGTGGAATTTATGTATCTGCACATGACTCCAGCTGAGATATTCGGTGACTTTTTTATGATTAAGACCAACCTTTACTTGTGTGTTTATCTTATGCTTATGCTCGTCTTATAAGTGAAAAGCAGCTTTAGGGAATGTGGATTACTACAAATCCAAAACATCCACGTAGTGTATTATCTACTCTTCCTAAGTGAAATGTCTTCGTTCAAATATATCCTTTGCATAAGGGTGCAACCCTTTTCCTTTCAAGGCTAGCTGCTTAGTGTTTACTGTTTTTGTTTGAAAGTCGTCTTTGCCTAAGTTCTTTTCTTCTCTTTTTGTCTATGAACATCATAAAGACCATTTCTTTCCTTATACCCATTTTCATAAACTTTTGAAATTGTTCCTTTTATTTGGTTCCATTTGTACGAAAACTCAGTTATTAACCTTTTATTGTGGTCAAATGTGCTGGTTATTTTTCCTGGCCACTAACATTCGTCTATCTATTATATTATAAACGTTCAAGGTACCTATAACATCTGTAAAAAGGTCGCTATCCTTGTGTACTAAAGTCTAATAATATTCGTGAAGTGCAGTTGGTATAGCGACTACACTGCAGCTCGATGAAAGCCACTGACTGTTCACCAGCTTCACTGAACGAAGCAGCTACCTGATGCTCTTCTGTTTCACCCATGCGATCAGTGAAACAGCATTCTTTTCATTCTCATGCTACAAGCGCTTTAATCTACCCAGGGCCATCTTATTCAATTAAGTAGTTATTGGATTTCTGTAACAGTGGTATACACATATAGACAGAAAGATTGAAATGAAGATTTTTTTTTTGTTTCCCGATAAGAATGTTTAGTTAGATAAATAGCCGAATTCTTGTGGCAAATTCTTTGACATCAGTAAAATCGCTTCGTGATCAACGGAATCGAAAACTATAGACAACAAGAAAGATGTGCAAGCCCTACCTTGCTCGCCTTTACGGAGCTACTGCATTCGATCCATGGTCCTCTTAGATATCCAGAATCATTATATTAATACACTTGTATGGTGCTCGATATGAACTTGGGTCGGTAATGGTTGATTATGACGTCATGTCAATAGAGTGATTTTCCTAAGACCGCGTGAAATAGTTGGTAGACTAATAGAAGTCGGTAGATTTCAATTTGAATTTTGTTTGTTTTTTGTCTATTTGAGTCTTATACATGCCTCACAGTCTGAGAAAAAAACAGTCTATGTAGAACTTGAATTAGTCTGTTACTGAGTGTGTGATACTCCATATTCTAATATGTATCTCTTTGATCGTGTTTACTACAAGACTTTCGATAATTTTACATTTTTATCACTGATTGCTTTTGATTACCAGGGGGTTGTTTTGACCCTCTTGTAAAATAAACAGACCAACATGTAAACAGTCTTCGAATTTTCTTTTTTTTTCCCGGGGTCTTAGATTTAAAGCTTATGAGGTATCTAAAGCTTTAGACGTTTTCTTTTTGAAGAATTGAGCACGCTCAAATGCCAAGAATAGGTGACATTTCCTTTTAGCTTTTAACTAACAGCACTAGGCCTGGGGAAGTCCTGTGGAATATTACTTAAGAAGGTTACCAATGTCTCTTTCATCTGTCTATTTATTTGCGAAATCAAAATCTTTGCTGAAAAATACCTTGATTTCATCTCAAAGAAAAAACTTATTTGAATAAAAGCATGACTTTACGTAAAAAAAGCCTCACAGCCAATCGTTGCAGCAACTACTGTCATGGTGAGAAATAATTTTCCAAAGTCAATGAAAATCTAAAATACCAAAATACCGAAGAACATTGCTTTCCGTTTTCTTTTTTAATTCTTTTCAAAATTCTTATCGCAAGCATCTAATTTTGTCGGTAAAAAAAGCTTTACAATTTCGATACAGAAAACAAATATTACTTCTAATGAAAACTCTTTTAGGCAAGAATACCGAGCAAAAAATCAACAGTAATTATTTAAAAAAATTATAAAAAAGAATTATAATATTTTTATTTTATTGAACATGTTCAACTCCAATTTCCGGCATTTTTTAAACTTCTACTCTGAAAAGAGTACTGATTTCAGTACCTTTCAATCGACAGCAAGTAGATTTACGGTTTCTGAAAGGTTTATGGAATGAGTGGGAATGAATTGGATTGAAAATATACTTACCCCAGAGGATATTTAGTTCAAACCCACACCTACCTGTGGTGGTGTCCAATCCAATCCGATAACAGTATAGTAAAGTTATACGCCGATCGGTCAATCGGTAGATCTAAACTTACCCCAGAGGATATTTAGTATCAAGTTTACACCTGGCTGCGATGGTTCTAAAGCTAATTCAGTCGCAATATTCAAACACTGATGAATAGAGAATTTTGTGAAGTTATGGAATGGGGATAGAATTATTTATATTTTGAGTACTAAAGTTTCCCCACGGGATAATCAGTATCGTATTTACATCTGGTAGTTCCTAAGCCAATCTACGCAGCCACAATGTCACTTCGAACTCGTACATTGGTCGATCGATTTGCCAGAATTTTCCAAGGGTGCATAATCAGATGTTGACTAATGTTTTTCAATATTGTGTTTTGAGAATCAAATGTGCTCTCGTTTGATGTATTTTACTTTTGTCGGTAAAGATGAGGACCGTGTAATGCGAGCAATACAGGTTTTTAATCTAGATACCAAATACCAGACGAATACTTAAATCTTATCATCTCTGATCTGTTTTAAAAGTTTTTCTCGCTTCTTCAGGTTATAGGATTTATTCTGAAGGTGGTCTTTATGTTTTATTGGATTTGTCTTATCATGACGTTGAGTGCTTAAATACGCTACGACTGGGATATAGAAAGGCTTAACCATGTGCAAGCAAAATTATTGCAGATTATTTCCCCTCTTTTCCCTTATCTCTCTCTTTTTCCCCCGCCTTTGTTTGTCTAGATTATAAAACTAAAAAGCACCGTGTATAAATAATGATTTAGTTATCCCTCCCCCTCCACTCTCTCTCATTCCTTGCTTGTGTCTTTCTTTACTTATTCTCTTCCTTTCACCTCTTCGATGACGAGGCAATTTTACTTCGTTTTAACAGGACATAAATGAAATTGAAACAAATTAAAATCAATTTTACACCGATCAGAGTTTGAATTTTGGGGTCTTCTAGCAAATTTGTGTAGCATAGCAACGGTATCTGGGGGGAGTCGGACCTTTCTTTTTCCCCTCCCCCCTCCTCCCCCTTCCTTATCTTTTGTCAACTGGCGAGAGGTCCATAGAAAAGTCGTATCTAGTTTTTCTGATCTTGATGCCTCTTATGCTATTCAAAATACTTTACTCGAACAAATATAATAAACGAGTTAATGGAAATAATACTCTTAAAACATAAAACAGGCGGAATTAGAAAAGTAGCTTCGATTCTTTTTTATGACGTTGATTACTTTGTAGTATTTTCTCGAGTGAAATGGGTCGGTATTCAAGATCTAAGTCCGATTGGCGAAAGGGTTTTTCTTTTTTCTTTGCCAATATCCAGACATGAGGTCTAAAGCGCTTCCGAAAAATGAATGGCGTTCCGTAGTAAACTATCTTATCATTAATCACGGATTTTGTTTTATAGAATTATTTACATAATGACCGACGCTTTCTATCGCATTTTCTCTAAGCCATTACCAGTATGTATATCAATATTTTGTCGAATAAGTATCGCTGTTGATTAAGGGAATGTTTGTCACCGGCTTTTTAATTGAAGTATGGCGGGGTTGGAATGAATGCGACGAAAGAAAATATTAGTAGCTTTAAAAAAACGTGTTGACACAGGAAGAGTGAGATGTCTTTGACACTCCTGTGCATGTGCTTTGATGTTTTCTTAGATTAAACAGAATACAGATTATAAAAACACTGAATACATAACTCCAAGCAGTCTTAACCGTTCTTGATTGTCTTTTTTTTTTTCTCGTGTATTGACGTTTCATTAAGATAAAGTATTCAGATTCCAATCTAATATTAATAATTGAAGACCAGTTTTCATTTCAAGCATTCTGAACTATTGAGAAGTCAGTGTAATATAGTTTTTTTACGGTTTCATTACCATGAACAGTATTCAGCTTCCACTACATTTTTTGCTCCGTAGTCTACAGCTACATAAAAAAATCAAAAAGCAAACTTTGAAAGAAAAATTATCATCAAGAACATCGTGATTAAACTATTTATACCTAAATTGTAATTCTTAGTACACTGTTCATATTTTTACTTTTTCGTACACCGCCTAAGTAGCGTGAAATTAGAACTGAAACTGATAGACTGGACGAAAGGAGAGAGTCCGAAAAAGTAAAGAACGAATGAAAGAAAAGAAAATATTGGTTTTCATTGAGTTACTATCTAAATAGATTTCTAGAGAACATTAGTTGAATGCAAAACTAAATCGTTAGCCGCAAGAGGCATGTTTCTCACATAACAGAAATTTATTATTCAGTTTTCGCCTAACATGTTAGACTGCAGGGAAGTTATTGTTAGGGATGAATTGTTGTCTGACTACAGCTGCGCATAGATCGGCTTATATGCGTAGCGATGAGTAATGGAGATATGAGTAAGGGAGAGATTCATTGTAGGAGGCGGGGTGTACTTTAGAAGGGTGTTCATTATATTTTTGTTATACGTGAGTATAGTGCAAGCAAAATAGGACGGGGCAAGTCAGTATTCAAGAATATATTAAGACTACACCTTAGAACTGCAAGGAAATAGGGTTTCTTAAATATTTTCTTGGACTTAAATGCGCAGGTCTGCGTCAGTCACAGTGTTTATCTTTATTTGCATAATATATATTTATACATATCAGCAAAAAGAATACACTGAGTAAACTGATCTTGCTTTGTTACGGTGGTGCTTCGCCTTGGTCTAGGATTAACTCTACCATATGTATAATCATCTAAATCGTCTCTGTTGATAACATTGAGTATTTTGTACTTTACAGCTGGTGTTCTGTCTCAAGATAATCATCACAGTCCTGTGGTATCTCTCCTGCCAGTAGTCATGCCGGGAGATAGGTAAAGTTACCAGGAGATTTTATCCATTTATCCATTGCTTCGTTAATTCGGAGCTACACGACCTTTTATTATGCGCCTCCTTACCTTGGGCGTAGTATTTTCTCGTTTCAGACCACGTATCATTCTCTTGAGAATAAGATTCTTTGTTTGAGTTTTATCCATATTCACGCGTCTTTTCATGCAAGACCATTAAACAAAGGAATGATACTCTAGGGAATGACGCGTGGTCTGAAATGGGAAAACATCATCGGCCAAAGCTAAAGAGGTCTCTATTCCCAGCTCACAAGACTTTTATGGACCTCCTTACCTTGGGCGTAATATTTTCTCGCCAGACCATGTATCATTCTCTTGAGAATGAGATCCTTTGTTTGAGTTGTATTCATATTCATGTGACTTCTCAAATGCAACTGTTAGGCAAAGAAATGATACTATGGGAAATTACTAGGTTTGATCTGAAATGAGTAAACGTTAAACCCAAGGTAATGAGGTCTATTTCTTTTCTTTCTCCTATTTTCCTTCCTTTTCCCAAATCCTCCAGTTTCATTTATTTTCATCTCTTTGCCATTCTTTTCAATCGAACATGTGCCTCAATAAAAAAAAAATGATTAAAAAGTTATTTTTTACAGAAATGACTAAAAAGTTATTATTTGCCATTAAAAATCAGTCTTTTTATACAAATGTGGTTTTACTTTTTGGACCCTCAGCACAGACCATGATACTTTTCGTCCAGTAATACACCCCTTACAGCACGTTGCTAGCCATTACAGTTCAGTTTACGGTGCTATAAAATATACATTTTCTTTCATTGCAAATGAAGTTTGTTGTCTCCCTTGTACAGTAACATGTAACGTCACCCTGCAAGCAGTCTGTTATTTCTTGTATATAGTGCGCACAAGGAATCCTTTACTTGTACTTTTGTTAAGTTAGTTCTATTTTGATGTTCACTTCTACTAATATTTTAAAATATATATTATTGCGCAATTATTTCCTTAATACTTTCTTCTGATTATTTTTCTAGTGCTAAGGCGTCTACTACTTTAGCGGGTAGCTTACATTCAGGTAAGTCATCACGTGACATTCCACTGATGTGCTTCACATATGATGTGTTTCTCCTCTCTCTTTCTTTTCCCCTCGCGTCAGTGCGATTTGGCCAGGCTACTCGTCTGAGAAGCACATGCGTGACAATCAAGTCTGTACTTCCGCCTTACGTGTCGTCATGCCGAACAGTAAATAAAGTAGTCTGGGGGAAGAGGCTATGTTTCTCAAGTCTTTTTACGTTCCCCTGTGCGATTTACATAAAAGCTGCAAGACTGCAATGCAGTCAGAATCCATGTTGTGCCATAGGAAATGTTCCCGACTGATATTCATCTTTTTTATTCCTTCCTAGATGATTTGCTAGGTCTTTCATTTCAACTGGCTTCTCTAGAGCAAAATGCAGTTATAAATACATGGGTGAGTTTTGACGTTGGATTTGACCGCGCGAAGTATCACTATTCACTGACTTTCTTCATAATTTCGTCTTTTTCTTTATTTGAGTATCGCAAAATTTTCTTTTTTTGACACTGTTCTAAGCCCAGAAACCTATTAGGACTTAAGCCTCTTCTTTACATCATCTCAGCACACTCTTGAATAGTATTCACAATAAGAAGTCAGAACTAGTTTTATGTATGACTTGATGGCCTTAGAAAGATTGTTTTACTAGGAACTATTTCATTTCAGGTGGTTGTAGAGTTGGATATTGCAGATATAGCAGGGTCTGAATCAGACTTGGGTAAGCTGTGTTACTACTAATAAAAATCTATTCTTCCTTCCTTCCTTCCTTCCTTCCTTCGTTTCTTGCTTTCTTGCTACATCCCTCTCTTTCTTTCTTCCTTCCTTCCTTCCATCATTCATTCAATGTCTATTGTATAAATTGGTATTGTAACAATTTATGTCAGGACTGGCCCCAGGTGGAAAAATCAAGTTGATAAAAAGTTCATCTCTACCATTGGAAGCAGATGTCAGGTAAAAAAAATGCTTATCATAACAGTATACCGCACTGTGTTTGTGCCTTCTGTGTTTGTTTTTGTTTGTTTTTGTTTTTGTTTTTTGTTTTTACTTCAAAGATTCTAAAAGATAATATAAAGAAGTACCGTATTTCTGTTAGTAGATATTTGATTAAATTTCTATGTTCTTAAAGGGATGTGCGCAAAAATGCAGCACTTCAGACATACACGATGCGATTCCTACCTCAAGATCCAAATCATTTCTATATTGGAACCGATAGTGTGAGTATTATAAATACCTCATTGCTTTTTTCTTATGTTGGTTATCAATTTAGAATTCTTGCCTCTCTCTTACCCTCTCATTTCAGTTTGTCACTTGTTCTTACATTTTCGTCTCGACATTCCACTTCTCGTGAGTGTGAGTTTAGAATAAAAGAAACAAATTGCGACATCGTCCTTGAAGAAAACCCTGAGATGCCTACACCTTCGTTACCAGTTAACATCATCCAGCTAGATTGTCTTCATATATGGATTACAGTATATGAGTAGACTGATCTCCTCTATCTTTGCTTTACAGGGTAACGTTATTCACCGTGTACGACATGGTGGAAGAGCTCCTCCCAAGACTTTTGGCCCAGAAATAGGTAGATAAACCTTGAGTTTTTGCTTGATATATATAATAAATAATAAACTAAATTATTTACGGTGCAAGACATGACCCACTAATTGAGGCCCCAATACAATTCGTCTTTCCAAAGTCAAAGCTGGTAGACTTGTGGTGCATAGTGTATGGGGCTAATTGTTCGGGAGGACGTAAGTTGGGCACATTTCTGATCACTCCTCCAAAGAGCAAGCGTTACAGTTCACCAAATGTGAACTTTGAAAAAATGGAACATTTATTCAATGTTTATAAATTAGGCCGCTCATTTTCTTCCAGTAACAACTTTTTTATTTTTTAGTAAAAAATGTGGTATTTCACTTGAAGTCAAAATAACCGTATTCCCGATTTCACGTATTTTTATATTATTACTTGTAATAGAATGTTTAGTCGATGTTACGGCACTCGATGTATCGCCATGGCAACTACCTTGTATCTTGGTAAGATGATTTTTTAAACATTTTAGCAATCATAGAAATCATTTTGCCAATGCTTTGGACATGATGCTCTTATTTTAAAAATATGAAGTCAAAAATCCACATAAATGTAAGCTCTCAAAGGTTATAGCAGGCAAGGCAAAAAAATAAACAATAAACACGTAAACATCGATATTAAGTCAATAATGACCCCGGAAAGGCAGGAGATACTAACATACGGCGGCAAATGAATCACTAAATATTCTTTTCTTTTCATTGAAGGCTGGAAATAGAGATGGCAGCATCAGATTGTACAATCTCACTAATGGTGAGTTCTGGAATACCGAGGCTATTGTTGTGGATTGAATCAATTATTATAGCTGTTGGAGTTTGGAGGCTTTTGGTATCTGCTTGGAGGAATTTTTTTCTTCTTTGGAGAAAGAGAAAGAGAGGAAGGGAGGGAAAAGTGTGCCATGTCTTTCCCCTCACCTTGACACCTCAGTTTTGCAAATTTTCTCGATTCTGATTGGCTAATAATATTTTTTCTCAGCGTAGGTGGTATAGCGAACAAAAGATGTTTGTACAAATGATTGGCCACAAAGCACCATGTTTGCTTTGAATCTTAAAAATGGTCTGATGCTGAGAGATGGGCAGATGATCTTGATCTTGATCTTGAAATCAAAATATCAAAGCTTATCCCATCAGTAAAAAAGTCAATGTTAATAGCATTCAACCTAGTTTTCTTAAATCTCTGTGTCTTGTCTTGATGTCTTGTCTTGATGTCTTGTGTTTTATCAACTGTAGAATTACCTCTGAATACGTGGACTCATTCTACTCAAGGCAGCAGTATTTTATCTGTTCAATGGTCAAATAGCATTCCTAGTATGTTTTTTGTACTTGATGCCAACTCAACGCTGTACATATGGTATGACTTAATATTACTATGTGATTCAACTTCAGTGATATCGTTGGTCAAATAGTATTTGTAATTTATATCTAGACTTATACCTTCATTGTTAACTTTTAGGGATTTACTAAAAACCGATTCAGAGCCTGTGGCGATTGAAAAAGTCAAACAAGGAAGGTGAGCATTGTCAATAGTAACTTACTTTATTGATCAGCATTTTTAAAAGCTGATTAAAAATTAAAAAAAATAATAATAATAATAAATTGATTTAAAATAAAATTTTGATTTAAAAATAGCTTTTTTAACTTGATTATTAATTATTTATCATTTATTGCTTCAATTTCATGATGACTTTCTGATTTCATTCGTTATGATCTTTTCGTTCGTTTCTTTTCTATTTCCTCTTAATCAATCACATATTCTTTCTACTCATTACTCTTTCTTCTCCTCGCTTCCTTACCTACATTTTTCTCATTCTCTCTTTGTTTAACGAATGAAGAAATGTATGTTTGTCATGTTTATTAGTTGTCTTCTCTCCCACAGTGTGATATCATTCGAACTATCCAGTGATTACTCTGCTACTGGTGTTGGTGTGCCGGGAAGAAACGCAGAACTGGTAAATGAAACTTAGCACTCACTCGTAGTCAGTTTTACTTAGCCCGTGAAGTAGTTACAACACTAAATAATACATGAATAAAATGCTTGTTCAATCAATGTGAAGATCTCTAAGTAAAATAAAAAAAGCCATAAAAAACAAGTGTAAAAATCTTAAACATGACTCCAGACTGAAATTTCAAGATAAGAAGAATGACATATCTGTATCTCCTCGTACCATTTTTTTTGTAGCAATTAGAGACATTCATATCAGACTATGAGGTCATATACATTTTCTGTTGTTGTTGCTGTCCCCTGAGCAAGCAAAGCAATGGACGTACATTTCAGATGTCGTTTTTAAGTTGCTAATATCTTTTTTATGGTTGTTCATAGACACTGGGATACAAGAATGGCTCAGTTGAAGTACATAAAATAAGTGCACAATTTTCTAAAGCTGCTGCTGATGAACTGGACAGATTTCATGAATACTTGGAAGGAGTACTTTGATGCTGGGATGCCTAACTCCAGGGTATGGGGGAGGGGGTTTCTTCTGCGTGCTTTCATATTGTGTTATTTAAACTATCCCTATCAGTTGAAGTACAGAAAATAAGTACGCGATTTTCTAAAGCTGCTCCTGATGACCTGGACAGATTTCATGAATACCTGGAAGGAGTACTTTGATGCTGGGATGCTTAACTCCAGGGTATGGGGGAAGGGAGGGGGTTTCTTCTACGTGCTTTCATATTGTGTTATTTAAACTATCCCATGAATGACCATAGAGATGTTGAGTATTGTATTCAATAAAATGCAGTCGCTTACATGAAAATTACTTTAAAAATGAAGTACATGAGATGTTCGAATAAATACTGGATAATCTTGTTATGTCACATCACAACGACAACACTTTCTTTCCTTACAAATCACCATTTCGAGCGTTAACTCTAATGTTATTTCTACAAATTTATTCAGACTGAGATAGGCTCGTGTATATGAAAAAGGTTAAAGGTTTGTAGATTTTCAAGTGATTGTAAAAGGATAAAAGTGGTTTCTTTACAATTTTTATTCGTAATTATTTTGATAATGGATCGAGGGGGATTTACCCTGCATGTGTAAACGGTGGTATAGTATACATATACCTTAACTGACCTGATCAAGAACTTCGTAAAATATTTAATAATCAAGCAGATGTAAGCCCTTAGTTACTTGCATTTTAAATGAGCTAGTATTATAGAGTGGCACCAGGGCCATCATTATCGTCATCATCATCATCTGATCATCATCAAATCAACATTATAAATCATCGTCATCACCATTAACATCATCATGAAGCCCATCACCCTGATCATCACCATCATTATCAAATGCTCATCATTTCCATTATCATTATCATAAATGATCATCATAATCATCTAAATTATTGACCATTGAATGTGGCACTATTTGTTGAGTGTTTACTATTGTATGATAATAAAAAGAGCTAAAATAAAAAGAGTTCATGAACTACATTTTCTTGTATTATAACTGTGAACAATTCCCCAGACTCTTTATAATTGTACTACTACGCTTGTTCTTGTTGCCTAACGAGGATCAGTTTTCTGGTCACCCAAAAGACAGTATACTTTGTCCTCATATTACTACTATATTTTTAATAGTTTACTTTTGGCGACTTAAAAAAACTGAGTAATTCAAAGTCTTCAAATATTAATGAAAATCTGATTTCAACTGCTCATGGAAAATGAAAAAAATCCAAGTATCCTGTACAAGTTTATCTATTATTGCTATCCTTGGCTGCTTTTAAGTCAATTTTAACTTTTAAGATTCTTTACACTTCCCAGCAACATTTTGAAATACTGAGGAATAAAAGAGTCATTTTAGAGAACATTTTATTTCTTTTCTAAATTCAGTTTATTTGAAATCTAGGACTGAAATAGCTAGGAATAATAATAACAGTGTGCCCGGATAGGTTTTTTACATGGTGCATATTAGATACGCTTGGTGGCTAACCGTACCTGTTCCAGTATGTTTAACTGAAGCCAAAACAGGATTCAGGTTATAAATACATGCACTAGTCGACTATCTCGGCAGGTACGAAACGCCGACCAGCTATAAAGTCTATAAAATTTCGGAAGAAAAAGTAAGAAAATAGTAAACTACTGAAGATTTTCAGATCGTGCCAGAAGCTTCTTGGCTGTCATTGCAGTAGTCTTCAAATGTGTTTGTAATTTAATTAATAGAAAATCAGTGATTCCAAAGAAAGTTGCGATCTTTCTTTCAAGAGACTAATCGGCTAAAGCAGAGTTGTCTGGATGAAAAATATGTAGTTTTAAAGGTTATATTTCAGACTTCAGAAAGAGAATTTCATCTGTATTTATGATTTTCCGCGTTTTTCTGGTCATCGTTTCACATATCAATCTGCTGTCGTCTAACCCGGGATTCACCTCCAAACAGGATAAAGCAACATAGCGATACTTTAAACAAACAACCTGGAAGCTTAACATAGCAACGTTTGAAGCCATTTGCTAAAGACTGGACGCTGGAAGAATGTAAGTAAAAGTAACTGGATGGTCAGGTTTGTTAACACCTTTTTGAAGTTTTCGTTTGTCACTGGTTTAGATCTTCAGTCAGTCTTGCAGAAAGTTGTTTTTTTCCCGAAGTTCCATAGCACAGAATTTCCAATCTCGTAAATATTTTGCTTTTTGATTTCTCAAAAGATTAACCTCGGATTATGGTTTTATTTTCAAGTAAGTTTTAATGTAAGAAAATAATTTCAATGCCAGATATAGTCCACATCAGTGGTATAACTGGTGATACAAACGAATTTTATTTAAATATTTTCTAGTTATTTTCTAACAATCCTTTTTGTTGCTTTCTTGATGACTTTTTCGAAAACATATATTTATCTAAATAGTGATGCACAGACCTATTTATGTATACTGATTCTTGTGTATAATCATGTTAGGTGCCATGTTTTCAGTTCTTAAAGACCCGGTAAAATGCAACAGAAGGACGACTTAAAGCCTGAGCCACAAATACACTGAATATAATCATAACCCATATTTGCTGCTTTGCAACAATAAGAAATGGATTCCCATTCTCAGGTAAGCATTTCTGGACTCCATTCAACTTTTATTAAGTTTATCTATTAAGATATTTAGGGTTTTTTTTAAAAAGTCCAGTGTTTTCTGCTGGGGCTTTAGTGCAACATGATAGCTCAGTTTGAACATCATGCAGTGCCGGAAAAGATTTTCTGATCAAAATGCCAGTTGTCCCCAGGTTTGTTGGCAGGACTTACTTATACATTTTGATTTCAAAAATCAACTTCTATATGAAGCCACTATTAAATCCAAATGTTATTTTTCCTTGGCGATAATCCCACCAATGCAAAAAGTGATGTAACAACTCAAATTAAGGTTTATTTGCATTTTGATTTTAGACCGACAAAGATCTTCATCGGAAACTCGCTGCCCTGGACCGTAAGCTTCCTACTGCTGATCTTCCATCGTATGATTCTTTAGTTCAGTTCTTGTGCCGTCGCATTGTACCGTCAAATGCTATGGATTTCATCAAGAGAATCATTTATGTACTTATAAGATGCCTATTGTATTTATTGGGTTTTGAGGACGCTCACAACAGGTATAGATGTATTGTGAAAACTGTGCTCTCTCTATAAAGGTTACGAGCTCGAGCAGTAATTGAGCAATTGGATAAGTAGACCCTTACCCGTCAATGGTTGTTTCAGGTGGAAGCTAGCCCCCTATGAATCATAAAGTTCAGCATTGCTGACTTCGTACTTACTGCGATTCCCAGTCACTTGTCCAAACTAGACCTTCATAACAAACTACGGAGTTTTGGTGTTCGTCATTCAAAAGGGTTTCTATGACAGCAGCACTTGAGTACTTACATGAAAACACGCACACGTGCAAACACCGTTGACTTATCTCATGCTTTTTTTCGCTGTTAATTTATCGCTCGGAATATATTTTCTCAAAGATGTCACGGGATGTCGGCTCCGAATTTCAAACGCTTGACTGCAAAGCTATCGCTGTTGACTATGTTTTGAGTATCTTTGGATATCTTTGTAATTCAAGAAGAACGCCCCAAAAAGAACTAATAACTTCCTTTTTTCTCGATTTTCAGAATTCAAAACGATCACAATAAGGACCCAGTCAACAAATGTTGGTATTCTCCAAAGATGGCGGATGACAGGTTTGCAATCCGCCCTGGCGACACATTCTTCGACGCCAGCACCCTCCCATCCCAAGTTCAAATGTCTTACGCTCTAGTTCTACGAGGAATCACACATGACGTAAACACAACTATATTGGACGGGCTTGGTGAAGATGTTAACGTCGACAACAACAAAGCAAATAGTAAAGATAAACTCTACCCGGACCGACTTCAGATTGAGACATGTCTTCCCATGCTGCACCGCTCTTCATTACTGATTCTCTCAATCCTCAAGGCGAGAGATTTCTACACTGGACAAGAATTCAAACCAGATGAATATAAAGGTCAGCCATTCACCATGCAGTGGTACAGTTTTCTTTTTTCAACATCCGTTCAGTTCCATCGCGAACTTATAGAGAGGTACACTGCACCTCGTGAATACTCCAGACACGTTATAGTCATGTATGGAGGTAGAGCTTACAGTGTGGAAATGATAAGAACAGATGTGATGGGTGAAGAAGTGATGCCCACTTATGAAGAAATCAAGGTACTATTTGCATTTGCTTTTTACTCGCCTTAGCAGCGACCCAGAAAGTAACTCAGTTCTATTTTGTGATCCGATGAGCTCTACTAGTCGGATGAATATCATGGTATATCATTAACTGCCAGCAGGCATGCTCATTTATTTCCCTATTTATTTCACCCAGTATTGAATGGAGATGTGGAGGGGGCACCCGATCGTCAGCAACTACTAATTTTTAGGCCAATTGTCAGTTAACTGTTAATAATTTTACGAGCGCTGACCATGATATTAACCAAAATAATGAAATATCAGTTAACTGTTAACTAATAATTTCAGGTTTTTTTCAGTAATTTTTTTTTTGCCCATTGGCAGTTAACTACTAACCCCATTAGCAACCTCTTGAATACTGCAAGTAAAAATTCCACACGATAACGGAAATGGGGGCTTTAAAAATTCACAGCAGCAATATCGTACAACAGAAACAATGCAATGATTTTCAAGAAAAGTGATTTTTTCCAAAGGAAGAATAAATTACACCCTTCCATTCCCTCCCTTTTTTATATTTTATACGTTACGTTTGAATAATATTTTCTGTTTCTAAACCTCACACAGAGGCAGCTTGAACGGGTTATTCAAATGGACGGCCGGTCACCGCCTTCTCTAGAAGTCAGTGCGATAACTTCATTATCTGCAAAAGACCGACACGTTGTGGAGCAAAACCTCGTACACGCAAGCGACAGAAACAACTATAACTTTGCAGTCATCAGAGATTCTCTATTAGTGATCTCTTTAGACCCAGACGACCAACCAAGAACTGCAAATGATGCGCTGTTCTGTCTGCAGTCCAAGAATTTTACCAACAGATGGTATGACCGTAGTGTTAATCTAGTGGTGTTTGGTAACGGAGTTGCAGGGTTTGTCATGAACTACTTGGCTGGAATGACAGGTGCTGTGGCTTCCTCTTTTGCTGAGTTAGTGAAGAATAAAGAAGAGGAAATATTGGTTTGTTTGCAAGAAGAATATCTGGCAAGTCATGGTACGTGTTCGTGAAATCTGATGTAGTTCAGTTTCATTACATACAAAGGCTTATGTTATGTTAAAATTATAACGAATAGGCTGCCAGTATACGACGCGCAGTAGAGCGGGTTTACGTATACCAGTAGGAAACATACTGTACTGACCGTTACAGCAGATAAGCATACCGAAACATTGAAATGGCTTTCCATTGTCTCCCAGTAATTCACTTAATGGTGCGACTACAGTACGACTACGAACTTGAGGTATCGTTTTCTACTCATACGAAAACCGTGCTATGACTATCTAATTGGACAAATCGACCTTCCTTATCTTTACAATGATTCATCCTTGACATATCTCATCACGAGTATAGTCCAAGCTGCGAAATTTGTTTACTGATTTCCAATCCATCGTTGAATTAATGTATTTAGATCAAATCAAGCTTAAGGAGCTCAAAGCGCCATCCTACCTACACTGGGACGACATTGAAGATAAGTCCATTTGCAAGACAATCAAACAGATCATCAAATTAAAGGAAGAGTCAGGACCGTTTGCTCCTTTACGACAAGTAGCATTCAGGCTGAATTGTGACCTCACGAGAAAGGCTCTTATTGAAAGATCTGTCAGTCCATGTGGGACATTTCATGCAGCGTTACAACTTGCTTTACTGCGCGTGTGTGGTAGACATACGAGCGTGTTTGAAATAGTAAGCATAAGGTAAATTAATGATTTTTAACGTAGTTGAAAAACGATGTTTTTAATTATTTCTGGAATTTTAAACCTCGTATATATTTATTTAGCATTGGCAAATGTTTTTCATCATTTTTATTATCCAGGAATTTTAAATTTGGTGGCATGACTTGGATGGAAACGAATACCACTGACATGAACTTATTCCTTAACGCTGCTTCCGCGTTTTTATCAAATTCCAAACCAGACGTAACTTCTTCAAAAGAATGGCTTAAAATTTTGCTACGAAAAGCAATCGCCTCCTATAGAGAGAATGTCGTACTAAATAAGAAAGGTGATGTTACTTTATGGCACCTAGATTCTATATACCGAACCTTAGGTCTGGAAACGCGACTCCCAAGGCAAAGGAACAAGCTTAAGAACTTGAGATCTTTAATCCAGCAACCTCTTATTGACTTTCTAAGAGAACCATCGGTTAATTTGCTTCCTCCTTCAAAAGCTGAAACCTTTACGTCAAATCCAGGCTGGAATCCAGCTGTTGAAGCTGTTGGGAGAGTAGGAGTGAAGAGTATGCTCCCTCTTGGAGGTAGGCTTTTTCAATCAGTGAACCTTTCTCATCCCCCATCCCCCTGCTGAATAGAAACGCGGCAAACTTAGCTTTAACTGCTTAAAAGGTATTGAGCTGGAACTTCGAGAGAATTGTTAGATAAATCCGGCCCTACTATATATACCCACTTCCACGGAACAATTAAAGCGGAGGTGTAGCTGAGGGTAAAGAAACAAATAAGGAAAAGCCTGGAGGAACGCTGAATTTACTGTCCCAACTATTAGTTATGCATTTTCAAATCCTCTGTTTTCCATCCCTTAAAAAGGCCAAACGTTTTGTGCTCTTTAATGTTATTATGTGAATTTCAATGTGTACTTTTTTTACGTAATTGCGCTTTCTATTTTGTCGATTTTTTGAGCGTGCGCCATAGCCACATTTTTCACCTGTGTCAACAAGGAAATAAATCTTTCCATGCAGTTTCCAAAGATTCGTTATTAAAACAATTAACGTTTGTTTTAATAGTCAAACGGTCTATGTTGAATGATCATGGTTCCTGAAAGTCTGTTTTTACATTTCGTCTCAACCTGCCTTTTTTATGTTTCCAGTTATGACTCTTATAGTAATTTCTCTTCGTTATGTTCTAGTTCACTACTTGTTCGGCAAGACCGCCATATCAATTACAGTGAGCTCGTTAACGAATCATCCCTGTCATGGGAAGGAAAAACAACTCGCAAAGGAACTTCAAAATGCGTTTGCATTTATCAAGAAACTCCTAGACGATGATTAGATGGCCTGTTTGCGAGAACAGTTGACAAGACCACAGTTATGGTTGAAGATATTTGTTAAAGTGCCTATCACCCTTTTGACAATATTCTCAGTGTTGATTCTACATGGGGTAAGATGTGGAAAAACCCGAAAATATTTCATAGTTTGAGTGCGGCTTCTTGAAGTTATAAAGGTTTTTCCATGCCATATGCTAATGTCGTGACGTATGAGGAGGCATTTATGGTTATTTGTTGTTCCTCGTAATTCGAAACACCGGCTTCTATGTGAAAACTAACTTCTAATAATTTCTATAAGAGCAATGGGAAAAAACAATGACGTATTTCAAATCTTATTTATGTGTGCCAGTAATGTTTTGTATATTAAATGATTACTCCTCATACGTCACAGCATTAGCAAAAGGCATGGAAAAACCTTTATAATTTCAAGAAGCCGCACTCAAACTATGAAATATTTTCGGGTTATTCCACATCTTTCCCCATGTAGAATCAATACTGTGAATATTGTCAGAAGGGTGATAGGCACTTTAAATATGTTACTTTCAATCACCTGAATGAAGCGCAAATATGGCTGAAAAAAATTAGTATGGCTTCACTGTAATTTTCAAATTCCGAATTCAAAGAAGGCATGGAACTAGCGCTTACTAGATAGGAATTCATGATTGGGTTGATAGGAAATAAGAAGTGAACTTGTGCACGAACCTAGTAAAAAGGTTGGGCACTGCACTGACGTTTTGGACTTCTTTGGCTAAAGTGAAAGAAGGAATTAGAAGATTAGAGTTTATGTAATGTAAAGGATAAAAAGTATAAACAAAAGGAAACAGAATAATAAAACGTTATACATGACATAAGCAAAAAGCAACAAAGTTACAAATATCGTTTGTCATCATCCGCAAACAGCGAACCTCAAAAGCTAAATTCTAGTTTCATCTGTGCGTCCACTAACCATGACTTGACAAACCAGAGGTTGTTTCAGGGTAACGAAAAATTTTGAATTTTTTATTTATTTGCAATTTGAAATGTGTTTTGACTTTGACTTGAAAATTTAAGCTCAAAGATCGGAAGCACTGACAGAAGTGAATTGTTATTTCTTTCCGGTGGACTTTTCTCTTCCTAAGCACTCCAAACATAATTTACATCTTTCATCAGTCCCTCCCCCAATTAGAATATTTTATTACAACTCAAACAAAAAATACAAAGTTTATAATTGCAGACAAAAGGACGTGAGGCCGACCTGGCTGACAGTAACTGGCTTCATTTTTCTGGCATTGAATTTTCAGCTTTTGATAGCTTCAAAAGACTGGCGTGATATCCAGACTGACAATCGTGATCTTATTGAAAAAGAAAACAGAAAAGATAGTAAAATGAAACTTTAACAGAATTGTAAGAAGTCATGATTTTTTAATAGAAAGGGATAAAAATGAGAGTATAAGAAGTATTCACTTATGAATGTACTAGAATATGATATGGTATGCATATGAGGAAATTGGAGGCAGTAGTTGAGTCCATTCGCTGTTGGGGGCTTTAATATGACCATAAGTAAGTACCGAGTACATAAGTTTATATTAATTCCAACTCAATCCATGAATTAGCATTAAATCAATATCGCGAAAAACATTTGTTTAAAAAATATGTAATTATTCTAGGTATCCATGTACTCTTGAAGGGCCAATCTAATTTACTGACTAAAATTCGTTCAAATTTTAAATCTATTTTCCCAAAACAATTCTCGTGATGCTGTGATTGGACTCTAGCATGTTTGTGAGCCTCGGATATTGCATTGTTTAACCCTTTTCATTGTACATCCTAAAGTGGCATGTGGCGTACTGGATTATTTCATTACTGAATGTTTGGTAACTTTATTCGTATTCATTTCATTCTTTTAAAAGAATTGTAGTCGAATTTAGGTATCTATATTATCAATAAGCTCTTGATCCGAAAAAAAAATTCAAAATGAACATTACCTGATGAGAGTTACTCGTTTGTAAAGAAACTTCAAAATGGTTGGATGCAACAACACAATTTTTGGATTTGCTACACTAACGTTTTTTGTAATGCAATGTTGGGGTAAAAAAGAACTTCATATTGGAGCTTTTCTTTCGATGAGCTTTGAAGACAGCGGCTGGCTGGCGGCTGGTTCTCTACCAGGAATACACATTGCCTTCGAAGATATCAACAATAGTACAGACATTCTAAAGGGTTATGAACTAAAACTGGTCCTCAAAGATACAAGGGTAAGTTCGATATTAGATGTAATCCTATAAGCCCCCAAACTGCTAACACACTATAAGAGAAATTAAGAGCGCACAACTGACTTGTTTTCGATAGCTTGCGGTAGATTGTAATCTTAAACTTGATGAACTCAGGCGTTCCTCTTGAAATAGTGCATGGATAGTATAAGTTATAAAGCAAAGATCGTAACTTCAGACTGACGCTCGAGATGAACAATGTTCTATATTCTGATTCATACATGCAATACAACATTAACACTCAAACATTTGATCGATTGAGTCTGTCAAACAGGGCGATTAAACCTATAACGATATTCGGTTACCACAGTCTTTAAATGTAGGAGCATTAGAAATGAAAAAGAAAAAATACGGTTTAGGAATATTTATTTGAGTCGGTAGGGCAAATCATAACGAGTGACTACTGTACTCAAATCATGACTTTAGAAGGAAGTCGAACCAGGTGCGATGAGAGTATTTGTTTCTGTATCAATACACATGCAGGACATTTTTCGTTCAGCCTTTTTTTAAAATTTTATCATCCGGCAATATTCAGCATATTCAGTATAGAATTTCCCTGTTTAGACCAAAATCTGTCAAAATTATAATAAACCGGCTATGAAAGCTGTTTTCAAAAAAAATTCAAGAAAAAAACAGATGGGATTTAACGAAATAAGCACATTGTTAATTTTGGCTGTTTCGAATTAACTCGGTATGTTGAATTCAGCAAACGTCCTAATTACATCCAACTCTGACCGTAATCGAAGAATCAGTGGGTAATTATTGAACTGAACTGCTAAAAAAATATATTGTACCTATTCGCTTTTCCTTCTTTTACCTTTTGGTTGCTTTTGAACATTTTTACAGCTTAATTTAAGGGTTATTTTGAGTTTCTGCATAATCGATAAATATAACATAGTTGGTTCACACAACGAGTTCACAAACTGAATGACAAGATAGTTGTTTTTCATGTAATTCTGATTCAAACGCGGTACCTTTTTTATCTACAATTTTTAATTATTATGCAAAGTAAAATAAAGGCTAAAAAAGGCTTTCTAAGGTGGCAGTTACGAAGCTGTCAAGCTAATTGGCGCACAGATGGTCGAAATAAATAGGTTTTATTGGCGTTGCTACAAATGCTATTTTTAGGATATCAAAACATTTTGACAGTGCTTTTGATATTGTCTAAATGAAAGAATTAGCCCTCAGTTTTAAAAAGTGACTTTAAGTTTTGACATTTTTTATGTCCTTTTAGACAAATTTAAAATTCAAATATTTTTGCATATTTTTACAATCGCAAGGAAACGTGTAGGACGTTTGCATGATGGCGTCATTTGACTCCCAGTTCGAAGATGCTTCGCGAATTTTTCTTTCTTTTTTAAACTTGTATTCCCTCATGAGAATACTAAGACRATTGGTGCTAATTAACTGAACAAAAAAAGTGTGAAAGGGAGTCTGGTAGTAGAGGTCAATGACGCCATCATGCAAACGTCCTATTGGGCTAATTTGCACACAGATACAAGCAAACGCAAGTGATTTTCACGCTCTTACCCTCTACACAATACCATATATCCGGCGTACCCTGTACTTTGTGTCCCATGCCTTACTCTAAACTCTATATATACCGCTCTATACCCTGTGCCTTGTCTTCATGTCTCAATCTATATCCTACCCTGCCCGTCTACCGGGACGTCTACTGTACATTGTGCCCGTTTTTCTTTCCACTACCTCTAGTATACCCTGTATTCTGTGCAGGACAGGATACCATGTACCATTTGCTATGTTCGCTTTATCCCGCGTGTCTCGTAACCTGCACACTGTACAATGTTCCCATTTTCCTGCCCATCATTAAATCTCGAGAACTTTTTTCTCGCAATATTAGAAGTTAAAGTGTTCTTCTGATAAAGTTAGTCTGCTCTTTCAGTGTAACAAAGGATACGCCTTTTATCAGTTCGTGAAGCTTATTCAAGACAACCCTCAAATGGTCATGATTCTCGGTGGTGATTGCTCATTGTCAACTAAATCAATTGCAGAGGCCTCCCCACACTGGAATCTGGTAGAGGTAATCATTGTAGCACTTCTTTGGATATTTATTTGGATTTCCAAATTCCATCTTACATTGTCTTCTTTTCTTTCCTTGGTAATAAGACTAATAAAGTTTGTCGATATTTATAAAATAAACTCACTTAAAAATTTGGACGTTACGGCATCATGGCCATATTGGAGTTTTTTTTATTTATTTATTTTTTTTATATAATATTATTTTATTTATTAACAAACATAAATCATGAGTACACATAACAAATAATTACAAATAGTGGTTACAGATGGCCATATTGGAGTTATATTTTTTAAAAAGATGTCTCCTGGTAGTACTACCAAAATAGCCGACATTATTTTGTTTTTTGACTCGATCTTTTAAGAATGATTGGAAACTAAAAATTCCTTGATAGTCAAGCATCAGTGAGAATGGCATCGGAGGAAAAAATAATAACTTTTGGTCTGTTTAGGTAAGCTACGTTGCATCATCGTCACTTCTGTCCGACAAGAATACCTTTCCTTTGTTCTTACGGACGAACCAGCCCGAGCATGCTGGCAATTTTCCAAGGATTTCACTCATGAAAATGTTTGGATGGTCAAGAATTGCAACAATACAAAGTAGCGAATTGGTCTTTGCTTCGGTAAGTCTTTAAATAGTCAAGCTACAGGAGGTATATGCAACCGGATAAGCAATAGTCTATCGCTATGATAATATTTTTCAGTAAATCCATGTCCCAATAAGAAGGATTTCCTCGATCTCAATGATCACCAAACCAATTTCAACCCAGTTATCTCGTTTTCGTTTTGAATTGCCCTATTTCCTTATGACTTCATGAAATAATTCTTTTGTTTTAACGTAAAGAATCATGGTCATGGGGGGGGGGGGGGGGGGGCAAAACAGAGAAAAAACAAAGAAAACTGCAAAACGGATTCACTTTAGAACTTACATAAGCAATATGATAATAGCTACCAATTATCGTATATATTGTAGGAGAAGTAGCAGTATACAAATTGTTTGTGAACCAAACATATCTGATTTATTGCTTATTAATCATTATAGACAGGCTATGACGTCATATTGCAAATAATAGTTCAATTGTGCTAAACGAATGGGGAAATGGGTTCTAATCTGCGGCTCGGCAGAAACTGGGCGAAGCATTTGTGTAGACAGGAATCCGTTACAATATGGGGAATTTCGAGCAAAAACTTCAAAGCTTTAAAATCTTTATATCTATTTAAGTATCATTAAGATGACTACTATCGTAACGAAAAACATTCTTTTTTCTTAGAATTTCAATATAGACTTATTTAGTTTTCACTACGACCTCATAAATCTAGTCAGCTAGGAGGAGCAGTGTACGTAAATAAAATGTACTAATGCTAAATTATTTTCGGTTTATTCATTTCTTATTCTTTTTTCAGACTGTCAATCATTTCCATGAGCTCTTGTCATTGAATAACTTTACTCGTTTGACAACTGAAGCATTCGTCGATGACGCAAAGCAGCAAATTAGTAAGATCAAGGTAAAGGGTTTCGGTTCAAAACGTGTATGGTTCTTCAAACTTTCGAAGGTTATTCAGCGGTTTGGAGCGGGTTTGTCATTGGAGCCCATTTTTTATCCAAATTTCCTCAGAACCAAGCGAATAGCATTTCTAAAACCCTGTTTGAAGGATTTCACTGAGAACATGTCTTTGATTGGACCTCGTTTAGTTTTGTTTTGCGCAGCCAGTGAGATTTCTCTAATATTTACGGTTTTCTATGCTGCAGGAAGAGGATGCTCGTATCATATATGGAATGTTTTATGAAAACCAAGCAAGACTCGTACTATGTGAGGTATGCTTTTGAAGATCGATGTACTATAAAAAAGAACAAACAAAATTAGTAAATTAGTGAATGAGCAAACTGTCCATATTTGAATGGCTCACGTATTTGTGAATTCTTACCCTAGGTCTTGAACGGGAGAAGTAGTCTTCAATGCCAATTGCCCCGATTTTACTATGACGTCACTGCTTGTTTATGTGGGGGATAGAATCGCCAAATGCAATAGAAAATTCAACAAAATTTGCTCCTAGAGAAGCAGTTTAATCTAGAATGGCCTGGTTTTCAGAGATAATATGTGTTAATATGTACTAAAAAATATTCTGAGCGTTTGCTAGCTATTCTACTTCTCTTCGTGGATTGATACGGATTTCGGTGAATTTGCGTCCGACGACCATAATCCTTTGCCTTTAAAACAATAGATTGTTGAAGATTGTTTTGATGTGACGTCATAGTGAAATAGGGCAATTACATCCTCCGCTTACACCACTCTCATCGAATATACAAATATCGCTTATTTTCGAGTGTTTTTTTTTTTTWTATTTCGAAGGCCTACAGACAAGGTATTTATGGTTCCGAGTACCTTTGGTTTCTTCCTGGCTGGTTTAGCATTGATTGGTGGACAAAAGTAGAAGAAAGTGTCCCTTGCACGCCTGCGCAGATTAAAAAAGCCGCTGGAAACTATCTTTCTACTATCGAAGGACTTATCTCGAAAAACTCGAGACAAATACTACCAACTGGGAAGGTAAAAATACTATGGAAGTCGTTTAAAAGCGTTAAGCAATATCGACTTTCATTTAAATAATTCTAAGGGAAAGCGCTCACCGCTGGGATTGTAAGTTGGATCCTCAAACTCTCTGCGGGTCATTATAGATTATTTCAGTAGAGTTTCAATGGGTTTTCTCCTTTTCTTCGAGGGTCAACCACAACCTATAAGTGTTATCTTCGCAAAATAAGTGCAATTATTTGATGTTCGTGTTTCTTCGATTTGCATCTTACGATTACGAGTGCTCTCATGGCATAACACATTATTAATTTGTCAATCATATGTCACGATACACGTCACGTGAGGACCGGACTTCATGTAACTCTTGGTACCTCTGTTAACCATAAATGGAGTTGTCATTAAGAAGAATCTTTACTTGAGAAGTCTAAAGTAACACAAATGTAAATTTGTATGTCTTTCTTTTTAACCTTTTTTGGCCATAATTAGCTGAGTTCTTGCACTTCTTTGCATTTTTTAGACAATAGGTGACGTCAGAGATCGGTATGAGAAAGCAATCAATCAGTCGGCGTACGAGTATGATATGTACTATGCCTCGGGGTATGACGCAGTTCTAGCAATGGCACTCGCTCTGAACAAATCTGTAGGCATACTGCAGGCTCAAGGCAAGGGTATTGAAAACTTTACATACAATGACAATGAAACCGCTGGCTTGTTGAAAAGTATACTCTACAGCCTGTCCTTCAATGGCATGACAGTAAGTTGAATAAAATGTATTTGATTTTTAAATAAAGAAATACTTTTCTGTGAATTCTAAAGCTGTTACAACATTACCACCAGATTCACCCTTTATTCTGTTAATTCTTGTCCAAACAGGGCCTAGTTAGTTTTGATGGACACGGTGATCGCGTTGGCGCACAATACATTCTGCAATTTCAAGGTTTGTAGCATAACTTCATCAGTTATTGAACCGCTAAGCTAATCACTAAACTCCCATCACAGGTGTTTAAAACTAAAGCTAAATTGATTTTTGAAGCGAATGCAAAAATATTTGCAATCACTGTGAATCGAATTTACTTATTTACTTGATTTAATTTAATAAATCCATAATCACTTTGTAATTCATATGTTTTTACCCGATTAAAGAGTGTCAGGAATCGAAGAAATTTTCTACATTGCTTTTCTCGCACCTTTTCACTTCATTGTAGATGATAAAATGGTTACTCTAGGATACTACGACGCGCACCAAGACAAAATCGTGCTTTACAGCAACGAATCGTTCTACTGGCCAGGTATGATGACGTAACGAGAGAAATGAGAGCTTTATAACACATTCAGATTTCCCTTTTTTTAAAGGGAATGAAATCAGCGTCAAAAGTCCTACTTTTCTACTGACCCAATAGCAATCATGCGCAATTCGATAGCCTGCATACATTGTTATCAAAAAATTGACAAAGTGCTTGGTACAATTAAGTTTATTACTTCGTTTGTTTGGATGTTTTTTGGCTTTTACATGTTTCCTTCGGTTCGTATCTTTGTTTAGCGCAAAGTATTTGTTTACTCGATATTATCAACCCTTGTGCCCGTGTTTGCTGTTTCTTAAATTGCTATTTGTTTAATTCGTTGTCTTCAAGACGGCCATCCTCCCAAGGACAGAGTAGTCATTCAATACAAGCTTGTTGTCGTTAACTTTGGTCTTTTCGTCTTTGTCGTCGTCCTCTCGTGTATCGGTGCTCTTGTTACTGTGATGTTCTTGATCTTTAACGTTCACTATCGAAACGAAAGGTAGGTTTGAATCTATTTTATTCACGCAATGACTTTAAAAGTGTGTTTTTCAGAGATAGTAATCGTTTAAACTATGGCAAATTTTGAGCTATTTATCCAAATGGGCATTTTTCAGTCCCCGTGCGACAAAAAGTGCCCAATGACGTCACTTATCTTGAATCATAGTTTTCGCCACTGGTTTTTTATTCCGCTGTTGCATCATACCATTTCGTACTCAAGAACTCCCTTTCTCTTTCTCTGCCCGAGTTCAAAGTCACAGAAAGGCATCCATCACTAACAATTTGCCTACATCAAAGTTAGCCCAACACTACCTTTTAACTGAACAAGGATGACCTGGATGGCATGGCTGTAATGGACAGAGAGCTGGCACAAAAAATAATTCCTTGAAGGGTGGTTTTCTTGACAAGATTCAAAAGCTATCGACGATTGCATTAACATTTCAGAAATATACAGACAAAATTTCTACCTATAACTCTTGCAAAATTGCGCGCGCTACAAGATCCTTAAAACGCACGCGTCTTCAGTCACACGGATGAAGGCCGGTCTTTGTTTTTGACCGAAAGGTCTGTTTAAAAAAATGTAAATTTCACAAGTCAGATACAGTTTCAAAACATCAATGAATCATCCCTTACACTGATGTTCATGTGTTTTTTGCTTCAGGTTTGTTAAGATGAGCAGTCCTCGACTCAACGTATTAATATTGCTGGGATGTTGCCTTGTCTATCTAGTGGTTCCTCTTCATGGTATCGATAGCTCTATGGTCTTTCAATATTATCTCGACATAGTGTGTCAGGTAATAATAATATACTGATGGGGGTGTACATTGTCCTATTTATCTCTTCCTGGTATCGATAGTTTCTTGGTATCTAAATATTATCTTGATATAGTGTGTCAGGTAATACTATTGAGGGGAATATATTATACACAGGCTTCTTTATCTCTTCTCTGAACGTTGTGGGCCCACATTTGGGCCCCATCCTCGAGAACCCAGGGGGTAACGTTCTGTCGCTCGTTTCTTGCTACCCTTGGGTTCCCGAGGATGACTTGGTCCGGAATATAAGAGACTTTGTAAACGTGGCCAAACCAATTGGTAACAAGTGTCTGTGCAAAGGAATATCTTTTTTCAAACTGACACCATATTTGAATCATTCTTTTTAATGCGCTTCTTACCCGACACAGATAGAAGTATGGCTCATGTGTATTGGATTCACAATGTCGTATGGCACCTTGTTTGCGAGGACATGGAGAATTCATGTGATATTTACATTAACCACAACTGAGAGGAAGGTTAGTAAATGTAAATGTAAAAGTGTGACCTTAAAGATAGTTGTCCCTTTGATTGGTATTTCTTCTTGTGCTAAAATCTGTCTGTGTGTCTTTTTTTATGTCGGTCTTTTCTTTTATGCCTGTGTGATTGATGGTCAATTCCTTGGACGATGGGGTAAACGGTCACTCGGAAATAGTCTCTGTCAATAAGGTATCGTAAACTACGAAGCGAAATTTCTCGGCTTCGCTCATCTTGTTCTTGCTGTGTTTTTTCTCTTTAAGGCAATAAAGGACCGTCATCTATTTGCCATTGTGAGCATCCTATTGGTAATCGATATCATCGTGTTGTCCACTTGGCAACATCTAGATCCTATACACTCCGTTCCTTGGTATATTGCTAAGGTATCGTATTAGAAATAAGCCAAGAATTAATTAGCAAGAGTCATTAGCAAATGAAGCAACCCCCCTCTAAATAACCCATCCTTTTATCAGCGACTTTGACTGACTGATTGTGATTATTTATATGAGAAGGAAGAGAGCTGCAACACCTTATTTCTCTTAAATGCTGCCCTTAACATCCCGTCCTTTCTCCCATCACCACCACAGCCACTATCATTACCACCATTACTACCACCACCACCATCACCACCACCACCACCATCACCACCACCACCACCACCACCACCACCATCATCAGCAACAGCACAAGACTGAGTTATTAAGTCGTTATAGCGTTTTTGGTAGAAGAAGTGACATAGTATTTAATCTGCAATTAGAGAATTTGATTTGGCTGCAATGTATCTCCATTTCAGACAACGTACCATCTTCCTGAAAATGACTAAAGTTCTGTTTAAGCAAAAATACTAATTCAACATTAACATAAACATATGTCGATCAAGCAGTGAGAACTATTGGACGAGTACCTTAAACAGACCACGCATAAAAGCAAAAATGTAATGATATCATATATTTTTCTCGTTATACCAGGCGTACGATGGTTTGACACATTCAAGATCTTACGTGGAAGTCTGTTCAAGTAATGACATCAGTATCTGGGGGGGAATCCTCATCTGTTATAAAGGTTAGTAGAAAATACTTTTAGTACCAAATGACAAAAAATTGCTATTGCTTTAACCGCTAGTATTATATTCGAAGAGATTGTGTCATACGGGCTTTTCGCCTGATAAATTGAGCTCACGAAACGTTTGAGCCATTTCAATATACACATTGCTGCATACTGCAAAAAGACATTTTGCAAGAATTTAATGAGGTGGGATTAACGAATAAAGAAAAAACTGAGAAAGAACGGGTTTTTCATTTACTGTTTCACGATTTTAGTGGACGACACTGAACTGATCGTAATCTTTCATTTACTGGGATAACATGAAACATGAGGAGGTATGCATTCTTGCCTTTTTCAGGAGTTCTACTATTATTTGGCGCATTTCTCGCTTGGGAAACTCGTAATGTGAGTTATTCAGAGCTGAACGATTCTCGTAACATCGCCATATCTGTCTACACGATACTCGTATCTTCCTTAGTTGGGATTCCTGTATTGATTTTCGTTAAAGAATACCCTGATTTCACCTTCTGTATTGCTTCCTTCTTCGTATTGATTTCCACCAGTCTTATCATCGCACTGATGTTTTTGCCAAAGGTAAGCTTATTTTAGCACTAAGGTTCAAAAACAATATGATGGATGATGGACATTTGCACACAAATATTCCTGAGAACACTCCTATTTCAAAAACATTGTCATCGCCAAAGGCGATAGGCGATAGCTTTATTCCGACATCGAAATGGTTTCGTCGACTTCAAACAATATTGAATCATTTTCAACACTAAGGTTTTTGACGATAATAAGAAGCAGAAACACAAGTCATTCCAGCTATTCTTGGATCTTGAAATGACTTATCTCCTATCGTTTTTCGCCTATTGCCTATCGCCTTCGGCGAGGACAACGTTTTCCATAATAGGAGTATATAGAAAAATCCAACTTGCTTCAAGTTTACTATTCTTTGTAAACAAATATTGGGTTTACCATCTACTTTTAATTCCAACAGGTAATAGCTCTAAAGAAAGTTAGTCCACCAGGTCCAGACAACCCTAAAGGGTGTAGTGTGGTCACATACCGTTCGTCACAGATTTTTTTGAATCCTTCGTATCTTCAGCCAAGACTGTATGGAACCTCCATCAAACCAGAGAAAAAGGAAGAATCGACAGAAAGGCAAAAATCAGAATCTACTTAATCACCAATCTGTGATCCAAGCATACATGCTGCCGCACAACCCATCCAAAATATATGTACATGCCCAACAGCTCAGGTGATGTCATTCCTACTTTTTCCCTTCGACCTTAAATTTTGATAAGGTCTATTTATTACTTATTAACGTTTTTAGTTAAGCATTCATCATATCATATGTAAACGTTCGTGTTTTTAAAAACAAATGTCCCCTAAAGACTAAAGCTTCCATTTTATGTAACTTTTTGACCGCAAGAACAGTCGAAATATTTAAACAATGTTACGTTGTTTCATGTCGGAATAAGCTTAATAATCTTATATAAATGGCTGTTCTGGTGGAGGTTCATTGTGGATCTGGCGGGTACTTTCAAACCAAACCCCGCGCGCTCGCTTCCACACCCCACAAATGTGGAATTCTCACTATGCCACGTATTGATTTGCTTTAACTTCAGGGCCGCGAATCCATTACAGAAAAGTAACTTGTTACACACTCAAACCATTGCGGACCTAAGTTGCTATCTCTCCATAATTTCTATTCTTTACTGGTTTTTTTTTCGTTTGATTTTTTTCAAATGCATATAATTTCCGTTGTTGTCTAATTAGCTAGCTACTTTCTAACCAAGACCACACCTTCGAGCGACTTTTGTAGAATTTCAATCAGCTGAATAAATCTCATAACCAAGTAGTCACGTGCGCCTTTCATTTAGTCAGCAGTACCTACAGTTTCGACACAAGTTAATACTTTGTTGACGGGAACCATTCCAAGTGAAGAAAATTGATGACAATAAAAACAATGACAGCCATGTTAACATGTAAATTTGATGTAAGATTAAGAATGTGATTTGCGTTTTATGGAAGGTCATCATTACAGATGATGCAAAGGGGAAACCTTAAGATAATTTCATAAATCAGATTCTGAAAATCACATATCGTTATAATCATGTATATAATCATAACATATCGCTATATTTGTGTTTTTACAACAAGAGTTTCTTACAAATTTATACTTAACGAGTCTTTAGAAAAACTAAGAATACAAAATCTCTTTCTTTTTTCATATTACAAAGTATTTTCCTCTTCTTCCTTTAAAGCTAATTGCTTGGCAAGCCTAATTTCCCAAAGGTTCTTTTCCTGATCATTATAATAGTCCAAGAAAGTGTTCCCTTGTAAAGCCTTTGGGAGCCTCTTTTTTTCAATTTCATCCACTCGAATAGCAATCAAAGAGGAGTCATTTCGGAGAGTGTTCCGACACAATGCCATATCTAGTTCTCCTCTGCAAAATGTGCTGGACATGTAATTCTTGGAGAGTACTGCTAAGATACGTCGGCTGTTGTAGACACTGTCGGCCATGTTGTCAACGATGTTTTTTCCAGGCTGGAAGTCTCGGTTGTGAATGCAGTAATTGAGATTGTGTTTTTCTATCAAAGGGATTAGTTCTGTTTTAACCCAAAGGAAATCTTTGCTGCTGAAGGTTATGAACACATCGTACTGGTAGCCGTCTGTTGCTCGAGGGCCTGAGTTATCTAAGGAAGTGCAAAACAGCTAATTTTACGTAGATTCTTACAAGGTGAAAAAGTAGATTCGTAAATGAATAAGTAAATATTAAGTAGATTCTTGTGATGAATAAGGCAGGAAGAAACGGGGAAGGGAAGGACGTCACCGATGGTAAAGATAAAAATACCGCAGGAGTCCGAGGAGCGAGAAAGGAGCAAGAGGAAGAAGAGCTGGAACAACAATAACAATGCTAACTGTTAAAAGGGCCGTAAAAAGGCAGCAAGAAAAAAAGTAGAAATCAAAAGGAATGGAGACAGAGAAATTTATGTATGAAAATTGAACCTTACCCTGGAATCCTGGCCGTCTTATTCTGTTTTTTCTTGCGTAAAAACCAGCTATGAACCCTGCCACGCATACCACAAGACACACCAGGAACACAGGAACAGTGGTCTTCCACAAGGGACCCGCAGAGGAGGATGCATAAATGGTCATGATCTCTGTAGTAATATTTGAAAACAAAAGAAAACCTCAAATAAACGGTCTTTTGGGGGCATATAAGAGAGGGACCCAAGCTCTAAATGGGTAGTTTTTTGCAATCAATTTTAAAAGAATGACATAACCAAAACATGTGGAGGCCATATTGAAGGAGCATCTCGAATGGCTCAGAATTGTCATTGTCATCCAAAACTTTGAAATATAAATATGAGCACAAAAATAGAGCAAAATAGAAGCAAAGTCATTTAAAATAATTCTAATTCTTGATATTTCAGATTTTAAAGGAAAATTTAGGATATTTGTCTCTGCCAGTCGTCGGCCGTACCTTGAGTAGCCATATTATACCCTAGGGCTAGCTGCGAATTGTAAAGTGCATCAAAATCAAAGGAAACGCGTCTTGAACCAGTGATGTCAAGAGGTAGTTATTATTCCGGTACATAATTAGATAAATGTTCTTGTTTTTCAAATATTCTACCAAATATCATCAGTGGCTTTCCATTACCAGATATGCTTACTGATGTATTCAAGCGCGGTGTCTTTGTATACGGCGAACGGCGATAGGAAAGAAGCGAAAGGGTCATTCCAAGATCCAATATTAGCTGGAATGACTGGTGTTTGTAAATAACACCGAAGTTTTTGTTGAAATATTTAGTTGTTACTTGTAGACAATCAACGCGATTATTCGTGTTTAGACGTATGCCCACAGTTTCATTCGATTATGCAACCGCCAATCGCCATTTGCCGTTCGCCCATTCAACCTTTTTTGAAATAGCTGTATTTGATTTGATAGCAATGTTCCTAGCTAGATTAACATAATCCCAAAACACAAAGCCCTGCCGAGGTGAATTGCAAATAATTTGAATTGAATTGCGGTATATTTTTTTCCAAACAACTTAATAGGATTATTTTAAGAATTTTTCAAGGGAAATTGATACAGCAACGCAAGTCTATATTGCGGTACAGTCTATATTGTATATTATACAGTCTATATTGTGGTCCAGTCGTGGCTGTTCAAAGAATGAATAGTACTTAACCAGGTTCGATTAACAAACCATATTTTCACATAACTTAATCTAGTATCAGGCCTCAGTTCTCATCTGAGCTTGAAAACATGTTTGAGTTCGAGAAAAGAATTCGAAATCTGTGTTGATCAAACAAAACTAGACGTAACAGGGTTTGACTATAGGTGGTACTTCCACTAACCCTCGGCTTCGGGGACATCAACATGATTCAAAATTAAAGTGCCACGGGTTTTGATTACGATAAAAAATAAAGAAGATGTAATAACCTACTGATTCCCGACACTAAATGAAACTTTTTCCAAAGATTGAAGGGAAATGAGCATCCTTTATTTTTGTGAGTACACTTTTGCGAGCCTGTCAGGTTAAAAAAAAGTTCCCTTATATTTTTCCAATTTTCATTTAGTTCATGCGCAGACGTTTTTCATTCGTGACATGATTACCCATTTTGAATTGTAATAAAATACCTGCATATTTCATTACCTTTTTTGGTCTGTTTGAGTTGAAGACACACTGTGGAGCTGCACGACCCAAGAGACGTTTTGACATCACAATTATAGCAACCCAAATCCTTGACTGTTACGTTCCTAATGACCAATGAGTATATTATATTCCCATTCCTAGGGTCTTTGTGTTCAATGTTGTAATATCTAGAATGTGTGTAGAACCACTGGCTGTGGTTTTGTGTCCATTCCATTATCACGTCAGCGATGTCTGCGTATTGCAAGGTACAAGAAAGGGTAGCGGAGCTTCCGAGCTTGGAAAATATTGTTGGGTTTTTGCTTGAAACTCGAGGAGGGCCTTACAATAATAAAACAGAAGGTTAGTGAGGGAGAGAGAGTCCACGTCTATGAATCGTGCTTCTTAAACTTCTTTGGGAGGAAAAAGTTGTTTTATTTTCTATCACACACCGTAGAAAATTTGAATGAAAAGTAGTATACTGCAGAATAGACGACGGCTTTCCTGCATTCTTATTGGCTGCATGTTTCAACATGTCCGGCACAGATCTTACCTCTTCTTTTCACGTTCAGCCCTATCACTTGATTATCCTCTCCCATGTCGGTCTGGACACCACATGTATAGCTCCCAGCATCCTTCAGGGTCACATTGACAATCTTATACCATAGCACCAAGTGATTGGCTACCTCCACTTTAGATTTTCTTTCAGGATCGGTCAGACTCTTTCCGTCGTGTTTCCAAAAGGAAGCAAAGTGCTTGTTATCGATATCTGATGCGCGGCATTCAAGGCTGATGTTCTGGTTTTCGTAGACAGTTATTCTTTTGTAGGGAGTGGTTACCTTGACCGATCGCATATGAAACTGAACTGATCAATAGAAAGAATCAAAGACATTACATTTTATTAAATAGTCTTAAGAAAATGACAATAGACTTCTAGTTCAAACTGAAAATAAACATACTCGATACTTTGCAACAAGAATTCTTTCATGTTAGATTGCAAACATGTTTCACTGTATCTGCTGTGAAAAATAAAGAGTATGATGAAGGAACAGGCATTGCACTTTTTTGTACTATTCAGTGCAATAGACATGGCACAGTTTTACAGTTTTTAAAAGTGTTTGCTTTTTACCAAGGGTTGTCAAAACTGTGTGGAGTATGTTTCACACCCCAAATTATAAGTTGGCCATGTTGTGAAGCAAAACAGTAAAACTGTTGTCCCATGGGGTGTCCGGGTCAAAAGCAGCTTCGTTACAGTAATGACATCGACTGATATTAACAGCTCACCACAAGAGATTACATCGAAACTTGAGTTAAGAAGGCACACCGATCACCTTAACCCATTAAAGGAAGAAAAACACAGCAAACTTTATACATTTTCCGCCATCTTTGATTTGTTTTGCCCCCTGGCAAGATGGCCGCCGTATCGTCTAAGTGGTCCATTAATTCAGCACACTTACCGGGTTTTACTTTGACTAAGACTGGCCAAAGATCTGATCCTATTGTGTTATTTGCATGACATGCATAAAGACCCTTATCGGTCAGACGAGCAAAAAGGAATTGAAGCTTGAGGCCATAGGGCGATTTTAATACATGACTTGATTCCATGTATTTGTTGCCATGTTTCGTCCACGTAATATTGGGTTTTGGCCATCCACTGGCACTGCACGTCACGGAGAATCTGTCACCATATCGAAGTTCAAGTTCAGTTAGTCCAATGGGTATGATATGCGGTTTAGCTTAAAATAAGAAAAAAATCACAGACTTCAATAATATATATATATATATATATATATATAAACTAGAAGCTTTAATTTCTTGAAATGTTCATGTTTCTTTTTTGAAATTAGCGACGTACCATTTCTTTGAAAGCTATAATGAAATAAAATGAACTATAGCCAAATAGAATGGTATCAAAAATTTACAAAATGAAATGAAAACAAAATGAAATTGAAAGATAAAATTATAAAATTAAATGGAATGAAATGAAATGTGAGATGAATGAAATGTGAAATTAAATGAATAAAGAAAAAAAGAAAGTTTAAAAATCAAAATAAATTTTATAAAATGACATAAGATAAAAATTATAATTACGTGAAAAGAAAAAGAAGCAATGAAAAAGTGACTGTGCTGTTATTCAATTTCGAGAGAGTAATTTCTTTTCTTTATGAATAATGATGAAAACGAACGTCGGTTTATCGCTGAACGGTTCTTAAGCATAATCACTAAAGAGGTCTATTTCAGTGGTGATCCAATTTTCTTCCGTCATAAACTATTAATATCTGAAATTTTGATATTTTACCAAAATATATCATGAATTTTAATGAATTTTTCTGGATATTGTTACTTTTAGTTGTACTGTTGTTTTCAAAACCTAGAATTGAAACAATCAGAACGAAAGCCAATTAATCTCACCTGGTTTGCATTGCGTTCTTTTCGTATCCTGTAAAAAAAACTTCTATGGTATCTCATGCTCGTGTTTGTTACATTGTTTAAATACATTGGTATTCATAATTCCGTCTAGTAGTGATGTCATTGCCGCGATTTGAACGACTGACTAGGTATTTTCATTTGTCTTTTGACACTGAAGGCATCTCGCTCTCTCTATATTTGGGCATAATTCCAATTCTAAATACGAACAATTTATTTTATTTGCTTATTTCAGTACGACTATTTTTAATTCGATTTAAGTACATTCAATGGTTTAGGAATTTAACAGTTCATTGCGTCAATCCACCCACAAGCTAATTATTCGTCCCTCCCTCCCTTCACTCATTCATTCAACCCTACCTCCAAATATTCATCCAACAATCCTCCCTACCCCTCTACCTCCCTACCCCTCTACCTCTCCCTACCCCTCTACCTCTCTACCTCTCTACCTCTCTACCTCTCTACC